TTATTTCCCCCCCCCCCCCAAACTTTCCATAACTTGAAAAAATCTAAACAAAAGTAATTTGTAATAAAAAAAAATGTAAAGAATATTTGTACCTTGATTTCAGATATCAAATACAAAAAGTTACAAAAAAAAATAAAAATCTTTCTAGGTTACTACTGTCACTGGTGTTGCAACCCTTTTTCATTTGTAAAATCAAAATAATAGAAATAAAGAGCGTTATCCTTTATGATCAATAATTATTTAATGATGTGAATTAATGCTTTCCATCTGCCTTTATGGGAGATTAGCTTCAAAACATACTGTGAGTCAGACAAACAATATTTTTTGAGAATGACAATTATAGATACAAAATTGTATTAGTGACTAAGAAAAAGGGAAGAATATCAAATATTTATTTTTAAACATCTTTTGCAATTATGAATGGGTTTTAAATTAAATGTGGCCTCTTCTTATATAAAAAAAACCTAGTTCTAATTATTACTCAATAAATAACCACAGAACAAGAACCTGTAGGAGGACACTGATCTAAATACTTGATACCATCACAGTACATGTTTGTAAAGCTTGACACAGGTGTCATATATAATGTGTGAAATCCTGAAGTACTTCAACTCATACCTTCAGTATCTTGAACATGATCTCGTAGCCGGTGAAGCTTTTCTCGGCTCTGGTCCAGTCCCAGGTGGTGACCTAGAGGAGTTTAGATGGCTGTCAGTCTCCAGAAGTCGTCACAGACAGTGCATTATTCAGCTCAGTCAGTGAACGCCAGATTAGCTCTGGGTCACTTGCTCTCACTGCGGCCCTCAAGGGATGATTCAAATGCTACATGAAGTAAACAATGTCCTGCTCGCCTACGAAAGAGGGAAAACCCCCTGAGATCTTGTGTACGAGAACGACTCACGCTGAGCATCTGCAGTAACCTCTGATACCCAAAGGCCAGTGAAGATGATCATGACGGAACAGAGAACTCGGGAGTGTTTTCTTCAGACTGAAGTGGCTCAGAGCAGAGTTTTCAAATGTCAGAGTACCAGTCAAAAACGCACTGCTTGAATAAGCACACACACACACACCACACACACACACACACACACACACACACAC